AAACCATAAAAACTATGTAAAATGAAATATTTTCAATGATGAAAACCACAAAACAGATATAGATTATAGATATACCTGAATCTTGTCTGCAAGTTCTAATACTGTCAGTCCCTTACTTCCCTCAAGAGAGAGAACATGAAAGGCTGCAAATTTGACAGTTCCAGGAGTCAACCGATGCCTTGACTTGCGTGGAGCCAGCAACCCTTTCTCCCTCATTAATGCAAAAGCACTTTCAGCGGCTGAACCACTGCGAATAGTAGAAATGATATCTTCACCTTTAGCCTGTATACACAAATCAAACCAAAATAATGTTTAAGAAAAAATAAACCCCAGAAATCTTCATGTAAAAAGCCTGCCCTAGCTTCCGTTATTTCATTTTATTGTCTCCACATATAGTGCTAACATTACATTCTAAGCAAACATTTGTTAGAACTCAGAGAGTACACAAACGCGAAAAAGTACCTCATCCCTGTCACCCATATGGGTTAATCGGGAATTTTTTTTCTTCAGCTTAGGCCCAAATCCAGTAGAGAGTGCCAATTGTCGCAGTATCTCAGGCCACGTTAGTGAGTTCAAATGCTTTTTCCAACTATGAATGTCAAATCCCCATGCATAAGCCTGAAGAAGAAGGAAGCATAAGAAAGATGAACCCCTGTTGAACCAACCCAGAAAGAGAAAAATGATATTAGCACACAGAGATAAAGAAAGTTACCCCTTCAACTATTTGTGGATGGCCACCCTCAGGATTGGCTGTAGTATATTGGTTATTTCCAATTCCAGAAAAAGGTGTTCTAGCAACATCTTCAATATCTTGTATTATCAATCTAAGAAGAGTAACATGTATCTCTCCCAGCAACCTTGAGTCCTACAATAGGATCTATATCAAATACAGAGCAAGAACAATGGAAAGAAACAAACAACAATAGAACACAAGAAAACAGGGAAATTTCAGAATGAGTACATAAAAGAGACTTACATAGTCATGAAAAGCTTGAATAAACTCATCCAGGGTAAAAGGCCATAGGTCAAGAATATCAGAAAATGATATCAGGAATCTCCAAACCTGAAAAGCAACCAAAGTATAAGAAATCTGATACGTGCAAAAGGGTGCATAAAACTTGAAACAAAAAATCTAACCGACTCCAAATTGGTCGGGTGTTCCGATCCAGGGGTTTTCTAATAAAATTGATTTCTAATGAGAGGCAGCATACAGAGAGAGGACAGATCAATAGAGCATACCATTAGAAGGTTTCCAACACTTTCCTCCGAATCCTTCCAAGGAGAAATGGCAAACGGCATTTTCAGTAGCAAAGACTTTGGTGGAAATATGCTCAGAGAATCTGAAAGAGTAGAATGGCTATGATGAATTGCAAGATCTAGAAAGAAGCAATGTTTTACAACAAAATAATCAGTTGAATAAAAAAAATGAGCTCCAGCAAATTTTCTTGGCAGTTCTAACTAAGGACATAAGAATATAATTGAGAAGCTACAGATTGCCCATTTATTGTAAGCCTACAACCTAAGTAGACCATATGAGTCGTGATTACCAAATCCACTACTAGCTAAATCAGTTTCACTGTCTGGCAGAGAGACCATACCTCTATACAGTTCAAGGTTTTGCAATGTGTCATGATCAAGCTGTAATACAGAGGGCAGTCCTTTGCTAGTAGCAGCCAATTCCATGAGTTCTAGCTGCTCATCTTCAATTAGATCCATAGATTCTTTAGCAATTCTACGGGCAGTTGCCTTCTCAATGGCAATCTTGCGTCTAATTGCGTCTTTCTCCCGCCGAAGCTCATCTTTTTGTTTCTTTTTCTCCGCCTTTAACATTCCAACAGAAAGATAAGTCTCATTATTAGTACTCTTGCAACAAAAGTTGCTCAAATACTAAACTACTAAAGATAACAAGTGGGTATAGTTTTCCGAGCTTACCCGTTCTTGTTCTCTCTGTAAGAACTTTTCTCTTCTTTCCATTTCACGTCTCTGTTCACGCTGTGACCTCTCCTCTTCTTTTATTCTTTCACGCATCAGCCTCTCTTCTTCCTTACGCCTCTCACGCTCATGCCTTTCCATCTCTTTTTTCATGCGTTCTTCATTCTGAGTATATAAGCCTTAACTCATCAATATATGTTACAGGGATACTAATAAGCAGTAAGAAGAATAAGAACCGACGAGAAAATACCTTTTTCCTCAGAATTTCTTGTTTCTCAAGATCTTTGGGTGCGGGTGCACGATTGTCTCGGGCTTCACTCCCTCTTCCAAGTCTACCATCGTTAATCTGTGAGAGTAAACAGAGAGTAATAGCATTACAATAAAAACACATCTTGTCAACAAAAGGATGAAACAAGAATTGGCACAGGAAGCTACCTTTCCCTTCCTATGAACATCATTACTCTTACGCACCCCGTCAGACAACAAATATGGATCTTCTGCCCCGAGGACTGATGAGTCTTTCTCCAGCAGGAAACTATCACCATGATGAGCTGATGCAACAATGGGGGTAGACATGTCTTGTTGAGATGTAGAACAGTTACGAGATGAATTTCCATGGGTACCATAGGGCCTTCCATTCCCGTGCATATATGATGAACTTCTAGAACGTGCCATTTCATAGTCCATACCCCGTGCATGATTTTCAGAGTATCGCCCATACATCTCAGGAGTAAAGGAAGACGGATCATCCAGAGATTGTTGCTCATGGAAAGAACGGGAAGCAGCTTGAGACTGTAATCAACAAAAGCAAATAAGTTCAACAAAGTACTAAAATAAAATTTTTGTGAAAATGTGATTACATGAACGCACAAGAAAGATTATATACAACAAAAGCAAAAATACTCCTACCATAATTATATGTAACCTCTTCAACTGGTCTATTCTGTAAATGATTTCAACTGCTAGAAACAATGACAGGAAACCCCCGTGCTACGAAAGCAATTTCTAAATAATTCTTAACGCAGCATGAAGCAATAGCTAGGTTGCATGTAACATATAAAGTTTCATTGTAACTCTGCAGCGTTTTAATTCTCTGATATAACTACAGAGATAGATGTCTAGGTGGCACATTATAGCTCATAACAAAGAAATGAAATAGAGTCTATCTGTTTAGTCAGAAAACTAACTKTTCGAGGTCGGGCGTCGTGTGGCTCATACATTTTGCTCTCATATAGATGAACTTGGTGCTTCTGCATAGCTACGATAGTTCGTCCATGACCAAGAACCAAAAAAAAAGTTAGAAAATGAAAAACATACAATGACCAATAATCAACTAACAACGATTCGAATACAAGTCATCAAACATCTAAAGTAATGTATATACCTATAGGTGTTCCAAATGCACCAGGAGGCAACGGATCAAACTCCATACCGAGAATCGGTCCATCATCTCTCAACGGCTCTCCTAACTGAGCCTCAATACAAACAATAGCTCTACGAACCATCACAGACAACCGAGGCTCGTACCCCGCCTTTCCCATTATCTCATATTCATCCAATTCAGCTCGAGAACTACTACTACCACTCACAAAATTCCTCCTTGAGTCCGAATAAGGACTGC